GGGGGGGGGGGGGTTGTCCTGGTCTGCTCGCTAACATCTCAAGTTTACCGCAATACATGATGACAAAGCAGCGGAGAAAGAGAACTTGAGCACCTTGCCCCTTTTTCCTCACCCGTTTCTTGCGTGCGGTGCAGGGCGTGTCAGAAGGGGAGGAGCCTGCGCTCAGAGCCTCCTCGATGTCCAGATTGAGCTGGTCCAGCTTCTTCATCAGCCGGCTCATGGACTCAGACCAGGGAGGCTCGAGCTGCGGGGACTCCTGGAAGGAATCAGAGAATGATTCAGCGTAAAGCCCAATTTCTTGTGGGAGGCGCGTTCCAGATCCACCTGCAGCCGGTGAAAACCCTCAGGATAGAGATTTATCCCTCTGTCTAACGCCAACAGTCATTGGAGTTCAACCCCCGAACCTCTGTTAGCATGCGAGCATCGTATCAATTCTTATTCAAAACAGGCCTAGTATGCAACCGCAAGAAATATGGGCTGTAAAACTCATGTGACTTCGGCAATTTCTTTTCCTAAAATTTGGACTTTTTCCTCTTAGGTTATGATTTTATTCTCATTAATTTGTTTATTTTTTTTACAATTCATATTGGAACAGGTTGATTTTTGATCAAGTTAAGATTTTTGCTGCGATAATATCGGATCGTTTTCTTGTCACATTTTAATTATGCAAAAATGTTTTTCTTGAAATTTGACTTCACAGTATTCTCAGAAAATTATGACCCCCCCCCCCACCACCATCACCACCACCAAATTTGGACTTTATTCCTTTAAAATTTCCTTCCATAACGGTAGAACTCTTGTTTTAGATGTCATTTTACCTGGGGGGGGGGGGATACCTCTCCACTTGTGAACATAAACAGATTTTGAAAAAACAATTTCATGGTGAGTTTGAATTGGTCCACATGGAAATGCATTCCGTTCTGGCGCTTCTCTTGGGGGTGAAAGAGCAAAGACTTGGGGGGGCAGTCAGTCATGGAATGCCCTCTTTTCTGCCTTTCAATGCACGCATATACACACAAACACAAACACATGCACACACGTAACGTGTATAAATAGAGCATCCTCACACGGTGGAGAGCAGGGCCCCAAGGTGTGCACGGCCGTAAATCAAAAGGACGGACTCACTCACCAAATGCTCAGGATGAGATCTGCCTGTGTGTGACTATCCACACACACACACACACACACACACACACACACACACACACGCAAACGCACACGTGTTGTGCAGTTATGAAATCGAAAACCATTTTGTTTGACTGATACTGCGTTTGACCCCAGAGGCTCCCCCTGGTGGTCGGCAGGAGGTCAGCATCCGTTCATGACGTTTGAATGCTAATGAAGTCGCGGCCGCAGCAAAGCAACGCGGCCTCCGAGAATCGGGGGCATTCCAAAAGGAGGTTGGTGTCTGATTCACACACAGACACAAAAAAAACTTTTTGCTGCCTCCTGTTGTCTCCATCGGTCCATCCATCCGCCCTGGCGCCATGGCAACCAATCCCGCTACGGATCGGTGTTATCATGTTGGCTGGCCAACTCTAACTTCATCGGTGCAAATTGTGGGCATTGTGTGAGGGTGACACTGTCGGCTTTCACATGGAAATGAGGAGCGGGAGAGCATGGAGGGAAGAGCGCCTGCTCCGAGCCACCCAGCGAGAGTGCCCGCCGATCACCATGGAGTCGCTCAACCAATGGCGCTAAAGGCTACCTGGACGGCTGCCGCAAAGCGCATTCCACTCCCGATGCGTCTGCTCTCAAAAGGCCAAGGCGCGGAGGGGAGCTGAAGCTTCTGGAAACATTGAGCTGCTGTCAAGAGAGCGGCGGGGAAATCACGCACACGGCGCCCCCTCATGGTCGGCTGCATAACTGCGTGCCACAAATGAGGATATTTATATTTACAACGCAACCACCCGGATTCCTCACATTTTTTCCCGCGGTTTGAAAAACAACTCAACACGGCAGGCGAAGAGCGTCTCTCGGAATTTGCGCCTTATCTGCAGCCGTGACACTTGCGTGCCAGTTGATAGGCTCGCTGCAGATAAGCGCCTCGTGTACAGACGACACGATGAAAGCTTTAACGGGCCTGTGAAGGGGAACGAGGTGGAGATAATGGCGCCATAAAAAACTTCAACTGCTACAACATCAGCTGGAAAAATAAGAGATCATTTGACGGTGTTCAATTGTTCAATTCATTGGGAAGTTGGTCCGTTTTTTGTTTTTGTTTTTTTTTTTTTTAATGTCAAGGGCGCAATAGTCTTGAGACGGGAGGTGTGCGTGTGTGAGGGATGTGGGGGTGGGGGGTTAAAGATTGGAGAGCATTGAGACTAACGCCACCTGGACATCAGAAGACTGAGGAAAATTTGGAAAACATATTTGGCAAAACATTCTGCTGTTGAGTGGCGTTGCTACAGAACAATCAAATGTCAGTAAAACTTATTTCATAAAGCAGCGACACAGTTCACTAAACCAACAGCAAGTTATGACATTGACTCGTTGACGTTGAACTCTCTTGCCGCTGCTCTATTTCCGTGTTCAACTGCATAACCGATCGCCTTAAGTTTGAACTCCGCGTTGTTAGCATGTCTCGAGCAAGGAGCCATTTTGGGGTCGACATATTACCGTAATACCCAAGGCGCATCGGTTTTTAAGTCGCTGTGAGCTTTTAAGAAAATGGAAGGCTTTTAGGTGCACTTTTTAGTGCGGAAAATACGGTATATAAACCAGGATGTATTGTATTGGATTGGATCCTCTCGCACCTGGTCATATCTAAAGACAAAGAGATTTCTTTAGATTCTAGAGTTTTTAGCGGAGTGTATGGAGCAGTTTGTGCTGGGAAAAAAATGACGAGAGGACGCCATAGAATATGGGTACAATTCTGGTTTTACGGACGGGGACAGCAAGGTCCGTCTGTCCTACAAATGGAACAATCGTGAGCGCTCATCTATCGGTTGACGGTTGTGTCACGTCCCCGCAAAGACTGAAAGGCTTGTGATCATGTCAAACATTTGATTTTGTCACAGGAGGAGCAAAAGACTGATTGGAAAACAGCCGAGATGACCATCTAACAGTCAATGATCAGGATGACGGCAGCAGGCTGCGACTCGAGTAAAACTCTAAAACTTTATTCTATGAAAAAGTTGTCCAGGTATATTTTGAAAGCGTAAAATAGAAATGAGCAGCTCCATACCTCCTTCCTGCTGCTGTCTGGCTCTGCTTCGAAACGACACGTATCGCCTCTTGTGGGCCCTCTACTGCAGTCGCTCTGCCTCTTGCCACGTTCCCTCTTGTGCCGTTGATGAACTCGGCGCTCCGTGCTCGGCCACAGCTCCAGGAACACGTCATCGTCCTCGTCGCCTTCGGCCCGTTCGTCGTCCTCGTCCCCCGAGGACTCACCATCGTCCAAGCTGCCGTAAACGTCGGCGTGATTCTTGGCGTAGTCCGAGAAAGTGATGGAACTCTGCTTGTGTTTGACGACACGGGGCAGTTCATGGGTCCCTTGGCAAGAATTAGCTGCGGGTGAAGAGTGTGCGCGGTAATTATTCAATGTTTGACCGACGCGGCTGTTTGAGAGATTCGTGAAGACGACATCCTCTCGGTCCAAGTCAACTGTGTCGGCCGAATAATTCTGAGGCTTCAACTCTCGATGTCTGACAGACGCTTGACCATCATGCTCTACAAACTGACTGAGGCGGACGCAGAAAGAACTTTGCTTTAGTCCGCTGTGCCTTGGTTCCGACCGGGAGCGGTATTGAGACTCAGGAAGGAGGTCATCCACTCTGTGGTCCCGGTCAGGAGGTGGACCACATTTATCTTCGTGTAAACTCAGAACAGCCAGAACTTTAGGCACATCTCCAAGCACCCCAGATGCCTGTCCTTGCTCCACGACAACATCCAGGCTATCAAGGCCAACACAAACAGAAGCGTCCTTTAGTCCTTTAGTAAGCGATTCCAAGCGTGAGCAGCATTGATTCTCAAGACGATGATCATCCCCTCCTGGACTACGCTGCTCACGACATAGACTCAAGAAGCCACGGTCTTGAGGGGTATGTCCTCGTCCAGTCTGCCGTGAGTACAGCTCCTCAACCGGTTCTGCATTATTCAGGTAAGTACAAACAGAATTGTACCCGAGTCCTTTGGAAACCAATTCCAAGCAGCCCGGACCCTCAGGAGAAAAATCATCCGCTCGCTGGTCCTGGGCAAAACGTGGACGGTTATGAGCTAAGCTCAGATCATCTCGTCCATGCTCCTGAAAGCGTAAATCCTTTTCAATGTCTGCTTTGCTTTGACCATCACACACAAAAGTGTGCTTTAGTAGATGCTGTCCTGCTTCAAACTGATGGAAGAATGACACCTCAGGAAGAAGAGCATATCCGTTCTGGTCCTCAACAGGACGTGGACCACAGTAGTCCTTCATTGAGTTCAACAAACTCCAGTTTTTTAAAACTTCTTGTCCATGTAAATCCACTGCAAGTTGCTCATTACTGAGACAGACACAAACAGAACTGTCCTTCAGTTCTTTCAGAACTGGTTCCAACGTGGAACAGCATGGACCTCCACCAAGACCGTCCCCTTTCAGGTTTGGACTGTGGCGATCCTGCCCTGAGCAAAGTAAATTTAAGTCTTGATCAGGCTCTTGGAGGACAAATTCCCCAGCCGTTTCCGCGCCATGAACAGAACAGTTCCTTTGTCCATGAGGAACCGGTTCCAACTGGGAGCAACGTCGACCACCATGGATAAGATCTTCTCCTTTCGGGTTCTGGCTCGGGCAAGAGTGATCCTGCAGTGAGCTGTGTAAATGCAGGTCTTCATCATGCCCCTGTAGGATAAATTCCTCAACAGTTTCCGTATGAAAGCAAGATTTGTCCTTTAATGCGTTGTGTCCTAGTTCGAAAAAGTGTGAATCCTCAGCACCCAGATGGTCCCCCTTGAGGTCCCGTGAGCTCTTAGCAGCATTTTCTGCGGATGAGCCCGGTGTTGAAAAGGCCAATTTGTTCGATCCCAAGCGTGTGGATGGATGTCTCTCTAATTGCGCCTCAGGCGGAAGCTCCATTGTTGTTAATGTCTACAATTTGTCACGATTTAAAATGCACGGGCGGGTGCGGCTGCTGGCTGCGAGAGAGTCCATGCCATCCAAGCTCCTCAGTGTGATTGGAATCACCTGAAAACAGAGTTCAAGAGAAAAGAACAACAGATGAGTTCGGGACTCTATTTGTCTGTGTGTGATTACTAGGCTGCCAGTTTGTCATCTTAGCCTCGCATCATATGAACTTCTGAGTGTCCTCTTGTGTCATCCCTGCAGTGGTGCGTGCCGCGGATTTGAACATCTGGCATTGGGGAGGCGGGGGGGGGGCGTTCGTGTCTGGATCTGTTTGACGGCGGTGACATCACTCTACAGAGGAATCCGACGGCTCTTCTTCGCAGCGGGTGATTTAGTGCCATCCGTCAGAAGAGCTAGCCCATCAACCGTGGCTAACGTCCCGCTCGGCTCACCCCGTCTTTACCGCGTATCTTGGACAGGTAAGGTCATCGCTGAATTCCACCGTTTCGGCGAACCATCGGTAACGGGTTTCCTCGAGAGAGAGACAGCGGCACTCCCGCGTGGCCAATCAACACATTTTACCCCCAAGGCAAAATGATCTCATCTGGCAGTCTTACGACACACAAGAGAGCGCTGCAGGTGGCAGAGCCTCGGCAACAGCCTGAAGAATCTTGACTCTACCCCGCCGGCAGGACCGCCACCCCCGCGCACAATCATGCAGCTACACAATTTATACATGTTTACTTTTGGGACGCAAGTCGGTAACAGAACCTCGAGCACAAAGAAAAAAAATGGTCAGACTGATCGAAATGCCAAGTCATGAGTGATGAGAAAGAAGCCATGTTTATTAGGATAGTTGAAGTGAATGAGATATCAAGAACAATCACTGGGATTTTTTTCGCGGCACTTTCTAATAACCGGTCAAATCAACGCAAATTCTCTCCTTGACAAAACCCACAATATCAATGAAACATGCTGTACAGTATTTCTAAAAACTGTCAAAGTTTTTTTTGAAGAAAATGTTTATAGTTTTGTTTTTTTTTTTTATGCTTGGGCCTGGAAAAAAGTAATCTTTGGTTTCATTCAATGCAGTATTGCCTTGTATATGTGATAATTGTTTTAAAAAAAAAAAAAAAAAAAGAAGAAAGATGACTACTTTTTGGAACGTAACCACCGCGTTAATGTAAACCTGATTCATTATGATTTTTTTTCCCCGTGTCGGCCACTTTTGGGTAAACGAGGAACTTTAATGGCGCACCTGATCAACAAAATCACATTGATCACAGGTGGATTTATTGACTCAACTCGAATGTGTGGCCTTGACCGACGAGCTAACTTGAGATGAGCTAACGTCCGGCCAAACGCTAATGTGAGCCTCCGGTTCTTGGCTCACGCAGCCTCGTGTCGGCGTCCCGTAACACGGCATCAGCAGGACTCACCTGTGGAGTGGAAACGAGACGCGTTGGCCAAACGGGGCTGGGCGCCCTCACCACCGCCGCCTCGCACGGGGCCTCTGTGACTCGGAGGCGGGCTCGTCATCCCCGCCGTCTGCGCTCTCCCCTCCTCCCTCCCGCCGATGCTGATGTTTCCTCGCCGGCACTCCAAACAGGTTCAGAATATGCGCCAGAAGGGAGCGGGAATGTCTATTTGTGAGGCGGACGGGAAAGGGGGAGGAGAAAGAAATCGACGAGGAAAGAAAGGGAGAGGGAGGAGTGAGAGATAGTCTGCGCGGGGAGTGAGAGATAGTCTACGCGGTGAAACGGGTTAGCGGCGGGGCCTCGCAGGGCCAAGATGGACGCTGACCTGCTGCCACTCCGCTCACGGAAACGCGGACGCTGCGGGAATGCGTTCAAGTCCCAGAGAAAAGGCGCCAGTCATTGCAAACGCGATCGTCTTTTCGCAGAGAAAGATGATGCTAGACTGAAACTCAATGCGCTTCCACTAAAACAAGGCGAACATCCGTTTGGTCACAGAAACACATCAGGATTATCTTTTTTGGTCAATAGAAAAATGAAAATATTCGCGACTGCTACTTTAAATCCTCCTGATTTTGACACCTGTGCCATAATGAATTCGGCTTTGAAATTAGGCTCGCGTTTGAGTCATCGCAATCCAAAGTGGTGATGTCGTTCGCTGCCATAAATCACACACCTGGATTTGCTTTGACTTTGCCTTCTTCAAGTTTTGGCTTCTCCCGGCTAAGAAACACCTCGCACTTTCCTCATTCACAGAACTGCCCAAAAGCCGATGGTGAACCTTTGACCCAGGCTAGCTGAAGGGCCAGCCGAGGGAGTTGCTGAGTTCTAACACGCAAAAAAATAAATAAATAAATAAATAAATATTTGAAGATGAATGAAAGACTACGGGCGCGATTCGTCTTGGCGTTCACCTTGGTTAATCTACAGTGAGACATTCAAACCACTGGGGTGCTTTAATGCAGATACTTTCGACCTCCACCAGTCCCCATTTTCACTCTCGCGCACTCTGCTGAGGTGAATTTGAACAATGTGACTGAGACGGCAGCATGATCCAAGGCCGGCGGAGATGGAGCTTGTGGGGGAGGGAGCCATCTTTGGGGGAGGGCGGGGTACCTTTGGGACACACAGCTGCGTGTTCTCCTGAGTCTGTCGCTGGTCCCGATAAAGAAAGAAGCACAACAGCGAACAAACAGTGCAGACCCAAAAGCCGCCAACAGAAAAGCTCGGCCCAGATACGAGCGTAGCTGGAGACATTTTGTCCTGCACTTCCCTTTGGCCAGAACATTTTTCTTAGTTACTTAGTCAGTTAGCTTACACACAAACGATACAATCAAACTTAGAGCTCGGTGGCACACGGGCCAAGGAAGAAGCATTGAAATGGAGGTACAGCTTGAGGCTTTTACTGTTGTTCGTTACTGCTTGCACTGGGGTAGGCAAGGCAGATTTATGTCGATAGCGCATTTCATACTCCAGGGAACTCAATGTGCTTCGCAAAATTACAAACGCAACATTTAAAAGTATTTACAAGCAAAAGATTGAAAGACATTTTAGAACAAAGAAAATAAATAAAAAGTAACTTACCGGAATTACTCAATGAAAGGACTGCTTTGGGAGAGCTGATTTTGAAAATGCCTTAATCATCAGTTTCGGGGGGGGGGGGTCGTTTTTAACCTGGATTTAAACGCACTCACACTTGTGGCTGACTTCACTTCTGTTGGCAGCTTCTTTCATTTGTGTGCCGCAGAACAGCGAAATGCTGCTTCCCCGTGTTTGCTTTGACCTCCGGGACAGTGGTCCTATCAAGAGGCGGCCCAGGTGCAAAACGCACTGATCACCACCCCATGAAGATCTCATCACTGAGACGCGCGGCACGCGCCTGCTGGTGGCCTTTTATCTTCGCCCGCCGGCGTTTTTGCAGCTGCACCAGAGCGGCAAAAATGTACGCGCGAGGAGCTGTTTTGTAACACAAGCAGCGAGCGAGCGCAACGAGACATTCCGACAATACCGCAGTCTGACTGCACATCTCGGCTTGCTGCTTTCGCACGTGTGCTGAGTTGTAAGGATATGAGGGGCTGTCTTTCAGTAGTGTGTGTGAGTGTGAAGAAACAGTCAGTAGTGTGTACGGGAGCACTTTAGTAGTGCAGTGCAGGTGAGCAAAAAAATATATCAATGGTGTCTCATTAGTAGTGCGTATTTCAACATTTCGGCAGAGAGCGTTTGTGTGTGTGAGAGCGTTTCAGCAGTGCGTGCGAGTTACTACTCTCTCATAGCCCCTCATTGTTTTTTTTTTCCCCCTCTGTCAGATATGTGCACACACCAGGAATGCTGGATACACACACGCACGCGCACGCTCCAAATGAATGGAGCGCAACAACAACAACACAACGGCGTGCGGCAACTCGCTCCGCCGGCACTCGCAACCGAGCCGCAAATTCCTCCCCGTCCGAGGGGACGAGTGCGCACGTTTTCTTTGCCGTGTTGCAATTGCGCGACCTTGTAATTGACAGCTGAGCAACCACCCTGGAATTCGTGTATGCGACCCACGGCAGTTGAAGGTGACGTTGGACGGGCAAGGGGCCCACTTTGGTACAAAGGTCAAACAATCCGCCGATGGAGGCCCGAAAGAGGAACCGTAGCCACCTTTCATGACAAGCCTTTCTGGCAGTCTGCACTCAACTGACTTTTAAGTGCGGATGTTCAAATTTCGGTGTCAAAATGAGATTAGGGTTTCCAAAATGTATTTCAGTTTGGGTTTCTAACGATGCGCCGAGTGACAATGACGGATTCGGGACATGGTTGATGTGTTAAAGCGAAGGTTGGGGTTTTCAGCAGAGCTTCGGGTTTCACATGAGGGTATCGGGCCTGCATTGGGGAAACAAGTTGAAATGCCAACCTTGACTTGAACCTCTAACCCTGGTGTGAAAACCTAATCTGAAGCCCTAACCTGCATGTCAAACTTCTGCTTGAACCCCGAACCCAGTTGGTGTGACAAAATAACGTTTGAATCCAAAGGAAGTTTTTTTTTTTTTCTCTCATAGGGTTTCAGTTTGAGATTTTGGTTTCAACGTATAGTTTTTAACTAGGGTTAGTTAGCGCCCTCAGGATGCGGCATGAGTGACTGACACGACGTTCGACGTTCGCTTGAGAATAAAGGGTTTTATTCCTGGCAACCCATGACAACTGCTTCCACGAACATGAAACATACAAACAAGTGCATTACAAACCAAATAAAAGACAAAACCATAAAGACAATTGATTTAACATAAATACACACAAACCTCGTGGGCTCACACCCACCAGGGGCTAACCTTCGCCGAAACCCTGCTCGTCGTCGTCGTCGTCTTACCTCATCCGGTCGGTTCTTGGCACTATTATGTTCTTACAAAAATGGCTCCGCAGAGCTTACAAAAAATGTGCGCCAATAAATGTGCACGGCAACTAGGGTCGGGTGGACCTTTATCCGCGATAATTGGTTCCGGCCAACAATCGCCAATAGGTGGCGTCAGAACACCAACGATCAAACTGCTTCATGTTGAACTCTCGGCGGTAACGGTTAGGATCTTCAAGGAACAGAACGGGCACAATTCATTTTCCAGTTATTCGATTAGCGCCCGATTCCCTGATTCCTAAGTAACACCCCCGCCCCAAAAAAAAAAAAAACAACAACATACTGTACTTGTTTCCCAGTCCATTTGTGCGATGAAAACGCTGCATGCAGGGCCGGCTCCAGGTGGTCGCCTTTGGTGCCCTCTGCTGGAGGGGGCGCCAAATTGCGCCGCTAGTTGCTGAGCGTTTTGGAAGTGGCCCGCAGACGGGACGTATTTTTCATGCACTTTGTTCGTGTATTTTGAAGTCAAGTTGAAATGTTACCATAACGACCAGAGAAGATTGCGGCCAACTAGGACGTTCCTCGTGTCATGATTCGTGTTTATTATGATGTTTAAAAAAACACCAGTTTTCATGCCGGTCATATATTATTTTGTTGTATTTATCTACAACACCTTAAGGGCCGGTCCCTGAAAATATTGTCTGACATTAAACCGGTCCGTAGGGCAAAAAGGGTTGGGGACCGCTGATTTAGACGGCATTCCCATCCGTAAGGTTTCATCTTCTTCCTTGGAGAACGCAAAAAATAAAAAAAATTAATTCGCAGCGCAACGGCTGACAAGGCAGCCATCCTGCAAGCTTCGAATGCGGTTCTTTGACGACGCTACGTCCCAAAACCAGAACGGATTGGCAACAAAATGTATTTAATTCAAGTGTTGGCCTGTGCTCATCATTCAAACCTTAGAATGAAAACTGAATGAATGAGATTTCAGATGAGTGACGTCAGAAGCCGTTGCCTCAATGATGTGCCAAAACTACTCTGAGACTCCACAACGCTCAGCACAAAACCTTTTATTCACGAAAAAAAAGTCAGACAGCGTTGACAGCACAAACACACTTCCTTGGCACAATGTTTCAAGTTTCCATGTAAATCACAATGCGCGACAACGTCGATTCACAGTATGAGAAGCGGGCGAGCGCAGTTTTTCTGCTTGTAAGGACGACGAGGACGCGGCGACGCGTCTGCGACTTCATTGCCTCGCACACATGCGACGGGTCAAAGCACAGTGCGGGGGTGTGGGGGGGGGGGGGCGGCAAGTTGTCGCAACCACAAACAACCAAACAAACAAATTACGTTTCTATCGCGGACGACAACAACAACTGGAACCAACACTTTGTTTCCACACGACGATTTGAAGATTTTCTTTGTGTCAATAAAAAGGAACAGTCGTGCTTTGCAGCCACGGACGAACTTCTGCCTTGACAGCCACGCTCAAAGCTGAGCTGTTAAAACGCAAGAGGCAGACAAACATTCATTTTAAAAAAAAAGGTCCAAAATTTGTGCTTTTTTTTTTAAGTATTTTTCTCTGAACTTGTATTCTTTTCCATCTAATTTCTGTTTTCATTTTCAGATATTTGTTGTCATCTTTTGAGCATTATTGCTTTGATCCTGCCGGTGTGCCAAATGTTTTGACTTGTGCCCACTCGCATTTCTTTAGCACTGACTTCTTTTTTCTTTAAGCTATGTCTTCATTGCATTTTCTGCCAAAAGTGTGGTACAATTTTGTGTAACATTTGTGTGTACCCCAAGCAGAGAATTCGTGATCAAATCCAGAATTCTGTAGTAGTAATAGTCATACTTTTCTTTCGGGGTCTAATAACTGTAATACTGTTTTTCCCCCTTCTTTTTTTAGATTGTAGATGAAACATTTTGATCATGCCTTAATAGAGAAATAAAGTGGTCACTATTGATGTTGCATTTTATTCTGGGTGTTTTATTATTTTTTTTAAAAGTGTGTCAGTCTGACAAATGCCCAAATTAAAAAAAAAAATCATAATCAAACAACTCTGCATTGCAGCTTCAGAGTAACGTTTCTCGTTTGTAAGACTTAAGGAATCCTCATCACCTCTTTAAAATTTAAAAAAAAGATTAAAAAAATAAAAAAATACAAAAAGGGTGGGATTCAGTGCCATAGAACTCGCACGCAGATCTTTCTTTCCCCCGCGAATTTCCCCACTCAATATTTGTGCGTTTCGTCTACGGTAATATTGCAGCAGTTTTCTATAGTGTGTGTATAGATTTTAGCCTTCATGAGCATTATTGCTTTGGCTCTCCCAGTGTGCCTAATATATTGACTTGTGCCACTTCCATGAGCAAAACCCCAAAGATTTTTAGATTCATCTTCGCCAACCACGTTCTTAAAGTTTCAATTCCGACAGATTTAAAATAATAATAATAAATAAATAGTGTCCACGTTGAGCATTTTCTGCAAGATTGCCTTGTTGCGAAATCTGTTTGGGGCTTTGTTGGACAATTTAAAATCGGGTCTATCCAACACCCTCAAAATTATTCGAAAAAATAAGATAAATATGAACAGTCGTGCGTTGTAGCCACGGAATAACTTTTGTGTTTGTAAAACGGTAAACTCCTAAAATCATCAAAAAAAAAAGTCAAAACAGAGAGTTCATGGAATCATCAAGTGAAAGTTAAAAACTGAGATTTCAGTGCTAAAAGTCGGAGGCAGACAATAAAAATGGCAAAATAGAAAACTAAAAAAAAGAATCCGATCAGATTTTGCCGGGCTCCACCTTCTCGGCCACCACGCACCAGTTGGCGTGGTCGAAGTAGGCGTGGCGGACGCGGAGTTGGGCCACGTGATCGGCGATGAGCTGGGCCAGCTCGCCCTCCCTGAACACGTGATAGTACCTCAGGCAGGAACCGTCGGTCGCCGCGCTTTCCCGCCCGGAGCGCTCCCTCTGGAAAGGGACCAGGTCGGGCAGAGCCAGGGCGCCGCACTCCGGCGCCAGGGCCGCGCCGCCGGCGCCACCGCGCTCCTCTTTGACATCTTCGGGCTCCTTGTGCAGATCGGCGCCGGAGCCGAAGACGTCCTCCTCGGACCCGACCGTGGAAGGCGGAGAAAAGAAGCTGGAGAAGTGCTCGATGAGGGCCCGTCCCGGGCCCCACGGGCCCGCCGCGCCGCCCGATAAACTGCTGAGCTCCCGGGACGACGAGCGGGAGACGGACAAGCTCCCGAAGTCCAGGACCGAGTCCAGGGAGCGGGAGAAGAACCAGAGTCTGTGCGGCGCCCCGTCGGCCACGGATGATGTGCTTCGGACCTTCCTGTGCTTGTCGCCGTCGTCGCCTGCGCTTTGGGCGGTCGCCCGGCCCGGAGGCGGCGACGGGGGTCCCACATCAGGCGAGCGGGGGTTGGGGTTCCACGGCACAAAGATGTCCTGCTTCTCAAACTTGCGGCGCTTCTGCTCCATGGCCCACACGTAGATCATGACGCGGCCCCCCGCACGCAGCGTGCGCGCCATCTCCCTTATTGCTCGGATACGACGTTCTTTGGTGGACAAATGGTGGATGACTGCAAACGTCACATGCAAACATCTTAGCGTTTGTCCCATTTTGTAGGGGGGCGGGGGGGGGGGG